GGAAAGCCCCATGGTTACTAGTTTTACTCTTGAACTTGATGGTTGAGGTGTTTGAGTTCTCTTAGAATGAATTCACTCCTGTGTGTTAACACCTCGTCTAAGGCCTGGCACAGTTGTTGAATGAACGCTGATGCTTAGAATTGTGAGGTGAGGTTGTGGGGGACCAAATAATTCTGTTATGAAATATTTTGAGATCCAGCCTGGGGTTTCACAGCTCCGGCCCACTATGGTATTGCTAATTCCAGCAAGTCTACTATTGTTTACCATAGCCTCAGTATAGGATGCCTCCTAGTTTGCATCTCTATGGGCCTAAGCATCTGAATAGGCCTGCACCTGGACAGAGGTTCGAGGTGTGTGAGTAACAAGTGAGGACAGGAGTTAGGGGCGAACTACCAGAGAGGAGAGGAGAAGGACAAAAAATGGTTCCCTCATGGTCATGGAAGGACAGTTAAGAAACAGCCGAAAAGATGACAAATAAAGAAAAGACTCTAGTTTTACAACATGGAACTGAGAGCTCTCTAAAGATGACAAGATGCCTGTGTTTGGTCTTTATTGCCGCTGGGTTGCTAGGAGTTTCCAGGTCCACACATCCCCCACTCAGGCCGAACCTCTTGGGTTAAGGCTGAGACATGCCGGGTCACGACATGGGGTGTGTCCAATGGTCCAGGAGAGACAAGGGCTTCGATAGGATAAGCCTGCTCATGGGTCCCACATGTGAAAGTGGTCGTCAGGTGAGAACTGGCATGATAATATGCTCCATAAATGGGACAGAGCCCATGCATGGGGATTCCTGGAAGGCAGGTTTCAGCTTAATAGATGACGGGATAGAAATACAACTTTATTTTGACAGTGTATGATAGTTGGCCTAATTACCTAGTAGATGCAATACAAGAATCAAGTTTATATCAATAAAACATGAACTGGCTAAACATGGTAGTGTACATCTATAATCCCAGGTTGTAGGAAGCAGAGGCAGGCAGATTTCCGAGTTCAAGGCTAGTCTGGTCTATATACTGAGTTCCAGGACAGCCAGGGCTACACAGAGAAACCTTGTCTCAAACAAACAAAACATTGAACAACCTGCATCTATGAATCTCTTTGAGATTCACTGCTTTGGGGCTCAAACTAGACTGCGAAGAATATCCAGGACCGTGCAGGGAGCTGAGAACCATAAGCCACCAATGAGGCCTTGGAGGCTACATGGCCTCTGCTGCCTCAGAGATGGGGGAACCATGGCAGGTGGGGGACCTAGAAGGAGAGAGGTAGAGTGGCACTGAAGACTGTTCAAAGGGACACTGGGGCTTAGTTCTGTCCTCTGGCTTCTGGGGGACCATGACTGACAATCAGTAAGATTTTTCCCATAGGTTGAGGTGTATCTGAGGAACAGTGCTGTACAACATGGTGGTATAGACAAGTGCCTGTTGCCTTGCTATAGTCATGTTGTATAGAAATACATAGTCATGTTACAGAAAAGCTGAAACAAGCAGCAGAACAGACACCTCGCAGGGTTAGCGGTGAGAGTGGTTATCGAACTGTTTCCCTGGGAGGGGTCCTCCTCTGGCAGTCAGCGCCTCGGGCTATCCTTATCCCCAGTGTGGGGTTTCTTGGGCAAATTTTTAATTCTTTTGGTCCCTATACATGGGCCCAAGAAGTTCCTTTTCCTCCCCAGTCTTCTGACCTCTGTTCTGAACAGTTTTGAACACAGTGGTACATTCACTGTCCTTCTGTGGGAGCAAGACCACCCTGGCAAACAGCTTTACACATCTTGCCTCTGGTAGAACAATGAAGGTTGTTCTATTGCCCACTGCCTTGTCACCCTTGGGTGCTCTCTGTCTTCTTCACTTTGCCACTCTACTGGGGGATTCATGGGATGATAATGCCATGTGGTAGGGTGCTATGAGAGAGCTTTCCTCCACAGAGCAGAAGCTGGGTTACAGAGCCCCAACTGCCCCATCCTTCTCTGTCTCTGTCTCTGTCTCTGTCTGTCTCTGTCTCTGTTTCTCTCTCCCTCCCTACCTCCCTCCCCCCTCCC